CCCATCTATGTAAAAATGTGTTACTTTGGGGTAACTAAGAACATTTGGGAGTTGGATTATATCTCCTTTTAAGTTTCAGTCTTCGGTTGCAAGTGGGTTAAAAATAATAATGGACTGGACTTTGATGATCCCTTTGGGTTGATTAGGGTGAATATGAATAAGGAAAGGTATAATCAGGATCGTTTCATTTATCCATCCTAAGCCAAACAAGTTTTTCATGTCTATGATCTTGTTGATAAGGAATGGTATATGGCTTTGTGGAGCAACAAGGAAGTTGAAGAAATGGATAGTGATGGCCATGACCAAAGTAGAAGAAATAATGAAGTTGAGGATGATCTATTTTGATGGACATCATTTGAAAATGATGATGATTTAGACAATATTGAAGATGTTAGTTTCTATGTAAGACGTGATCATAATAAGGGTATTTTATCTCTAAGATAGGGAAATCAATTAAATTGAAGAAGTTCTATTAAAGTAAAACAAGAAAAAGGAAAAGAAAGAATTAAATAGGTAAATGACTATTTTTAATAATTCAGGTTAGTTATGATGTTACTCTTGTTTGAATTATTATTGTTTGATTTAATCTTGATTATTATTATCTTTCCAGGTAATTGACTACCGAGGGTAATCATCCAAATACTGGCTCTAAATCCTAGTGTTAGGCAAAATGATGATGAGGCTTAGAAAAATGTTGACCTTGATAGGGAGGAAGAACAACTTAAGAAGGGATTAGATGTGATGGAGCAAGTTACTAAAGCAAGAAATGAAGGGAAAAAGTTTACTATTAAGTAAAACCAAAAGAATCAAGTAGTAGATAGTCATAACTTTGTTAGTTATATTGAGGTGGCAGTGAAGTCTTCTGTGCTTATCACTTTAAAATCATGGAAGAAAGCAACTCCTACAATGAGGGATGCAGTGTGGAATAATATAAGATACTATTTACTAAAGAAATTTTTCATTGTATATGTCCTTTTCACAAGTTGTCTCATTTGTTTTGTAGTCAAGATTTGAGATTGAGGAGAGGCACAAAAAGTTTGTCCTACAAAAAGTTGGGTTGACCCTTAGAGCTTTTAGAATTTTATCACTCATAAACTCTTGGGAAACCTCAACATAGAGGGTATTAAGGATATAGTTCCTCCCCTTATTAGGTCGATTGTTAGTTTGGATGAATGGAAAGCTTTAGTTGACTCATGCCACAATCCAAAGTTCAAGGTATCACTTCTTGTTTATATTTTGTTGTTTTTGTTGGCTTTTACTTCCAATTTATATCAAGTGACTTATATATTTTGTATTTCCAAAGGCATTAAGCACAAAAAATAAACAGTTGGAAAAGAAGAATGAGTATACTTATAAGGCTGGGCGCAAGGGGTATGTGGGCATTGAGAAGGGCTTGATTGAAAAAGAGCATATGTCAGAGGGTTCTATATCTTGTGGCAAGATTTGGGCCTGGGCTTGAAAAAACAAAGAAGGAAATATTGATAATCCAAAGACAAAAGCAATTGTAGACACGATAGTAAGTATTAATAATATAATATTATTTAATTGTTTTCAAGTTATTCAATTTACTTTTACTGCTTTATAGGAGGCTTTGACAAAGGAGGCATCAGCATGCACTCTTACTGTTGATGAGGATGTCTTGGAGAAAAGCATTAGGGAAAAATGATCATTCTAGTTGTGTTCAAGGTGTTGGCTTTGGTATCACAAGGAAAGAGTACATTAGGTCATATCATGTTAAAAAGATTGCTCCTTCTACTGGGGTTCAAGAATTAAGGCAACAGCTAGTGGAACAGAAGCAACACATACAAGCATAGTCACAGTAGATTCAAGAAAAGTCTAGACTCATTGATAGCATAGGTTGGGGCTTCTGTTGGGCAATGCTAGCCCTAGTGGGAATGACAATTGTAACCACCCTATATCCCCACGATATAAGCAAAGGATTAACTTAATCACTACCAATCGAGCCAAACTGTAATCAAATATTTTGTTTTTAAAAAGCTTGGGCCCAAGACTTGTTTTGCAAGATCATCAAAATCTTAACATATCAAAGCCATACATAGTGAAAAAAAATCATATGCATTCATATCAATCATTGCATGCCTTTGAAATAAGGAAATAAGGTCAGATTATAGGGCATGCACCACGGCATGTACCACATGCATCGCGGCATGTGGCACAGAGCCACATGTTCTAACCTTCTTTATACTATGCATCGCGGCATGATGTTCAATGCATTATAGTGCACATGCCAGTTTTTATAGCTATCATTTGATAGCATACAGGACGAACTTTCGGCATGCACTGTTTCAACATATGACATCCGATAGGATAATTCAAGCACCCACATGAATCTTATTACATAAGCTAACTAATGAGATAAATTTGGACATAATGCAATGATCCAATCAAAATTTGGACAACTGGGTGCTAAAAGTTACTTTTTTAAAAATTTAACGCACCAAAGCACAAATAATTTACATTGTCTCATTAAACCATTCTAGGCCTTGAACTAAATCCAAAAGGATCTAGTACACCTGATTGACCAAGTTATACAACAAATACACACATATATTACAATTTGACCATCTAACGGCCCATTTCCGCATTTTACAGTATTCACAAAAACATTCATTTAACTATTGTAACCACATTATCACTATAAACTCACTTCGTATTCACTACTAGCATTTTTATAGCATATTCATAACTAAATCTTAGCCCCATTTAATCATTTCACCACTCATTTCCACATATGACTAAGAATAAAAAAAAATCACTACAATTTTCCTTATTTCACAACTTAAACATGCATGCAATCCCTATGGCAACTTATATACACAATATTCATATTAAATTGGTTCATTACATTGACTCATAATTATGTGAAACTTCATTTTCATTGCAATTAAATTATGTGAAACTTTCTAATTGTAATTCTATTTATAAGGGCCATTGGATGTTACTTGTGATCAATCTAACTACAGGGAGAGTATGGTACTTTGACCCTATTAGTGGTGGCAATCTCAGCAACAGGTTGCATATAGTAGAGATGATTAATCAGTAAGTTGATTAAGTTTTGTGAAACTATGGTTTTCCCCCTATTACGATCAAGAATCCAACATCTCATTGTACCGATGTTAAGGAGCATAAATCTCCAACATCATACCCCATCTGGGCACTAAAGAGCGAATTTTCTAACACTGCACCTATGGTGGCACTAAGGAAAAGAAATATTCCAACATCATACCCTATCGAGCACTAAGGAGAATAAATTCCTTGTGAATTTTTACTACTCCTTCCAATGATGAACTCCTATCCCTTATCTAGTGTGTGATACATAAATAAATAGAGAGAGATTTGAGTAAGGAAATTACACGGGTAACCCTTTCAATCAGACAAGAGGAGTTGAGGTAACCATATAGTTTATTATGTTTATTAACTATTATAAATGTGTAGAAGTAAATATGAAATAGTGAGTTTGGTCTTATGAGTTTTAGCATGAATATTAATTTGTGAAATGAAATTTGAAAAGTCATTAGTTTTAATTGATAGTTATATGTTACATATAAAGGTGTATGTCATGAAAATGTGAAAGAAAGTAGTGAAAATTATAAAAAAAGCATAATCATAGGGGTGGGAGTTCACCCAAGATATGTGGGGATGTGTGTGGAGAAGTAAGTGAGAAATCCATATGGTCGAGATAGCACCATAGGACATCTGGTGCAACATTATACGAGCTGTTATCATGGGTAATTCGATACAACATACTATGAGACTGTTACCATAGTATTAAACTAAGGGGTAGAGTTGGAAACCTTTATTAAATTCATCTTAAAATCAGTGGACTTTGCTTATAGTTAAGACAAATTTGATAGTTATTGCTTATATCTTAGGTCGGAGGTTGTATCTCTGTTTTTTCCTAACCTAAACTACGATAACAATTTCACGTGAATTTAAAGATGATTAGATAGATTTGGCTTCACCTAGTTCACCTTTTTAAGTACAAAAAAAAAAACAAGAGGAAGAAAGTTTCCCCCGTTTTCAAAACAAATAACAAGATTAGATGTTTTTTATTTCTAAAGAAGACCTCGCCTTCTAAAAATATAGAATGATCCAAGCTAAGTACAATCTGTGGTGTGAACATGATTTGTTAAGCTTATTTCAAACTTGACATGATTTTCAATTTGATTGTAACTCAGCACAACCAAAGCTTGTTGGAGTTATCCATCTGTGTTGCTAATATACAAGTATATTTTTGTCAACATTTGTATTAACCAACCACTCAAACGGTTCTACCGGAAGACTAGAAACCTCTCCACCAGTCTTTATGTGACCCTTTTTTATGTTGTTTTCACATGTATCCTCTTGTTAGAGTTAATCTAGTTCAAGGCATTGTGAGACACTAAACGTGAATATTTCTCTTAATAAGAATTCGAATACTGATTCATCACATACCAGCCTTTTTAACTAAACCCACTCCTTGTTGCTTGCAACTCTTGAATATTAATGGGTATGCTTCAAACAAAAGCTTATTTTCTCTAAGCCCAATTCATTAAAGCATCTTTCAAATTTTAAATACTCACTCCATCTGAAACCATCTAAAATTATAACACTTTGAGGGGGTTCAGCATCTTAAAATATAAGATACTTTGACAAAAATAAAATTTTATTAATAATTTTTTTTAATATTATCATTTTCATTATATTCTATCTTTAATATTTTTTCACAAAATATTAGATAAAGGATTTTTTTTTTTGAAAAAATGAAGTTATAAAACATATCAAATGAACTTTACTCGTACGTATAATTTTGTCAAAAAATGTTTTATAAACTAAGAACGGGTATTATATTTGTTGTTTCTTTCTACCCCTAGATGTCGAAACTTAAAAACCTAACCCTAGCCAATCAGTTGCATAATGATGAACAATTTATTATTACAATGAATAATCCAGGCACCAACTAAAATTGAATGATGCTGTCAAAAGCCACTTGCTCTAGCTTCATTTAAAATGTTCCTTGCATTACTTTCAGATAATGTCCATAAACAAGATATTACCATCTATTATTAGTACAACCATGAATTAGTTGCATCCAATAGACAGGTTATTACACCCTGGGTTAGTTGCATAAACACAAGGATAAAAAGAAAAAAACTGAAATTGATAGAGTATTTTGATTTTCATTCAAAAAGTAAATCACTACGGTACCTTCATAATACAGTGTTAAAATGACATTTCCATATTCTGTGATCTAACTAAAGCCTTCAATTTCTTCTCTTTCCTCTTCATGGATCCATTTTTGTTCTCTTTTTTCTTGGGTTGCTCCTCTACTACTGGTTGAGTACTCAACAAATGTTGATGAATAGCAGATAGGGGATCCGTTTGGAACGAAGGATCATTAAGATTTTGCAAAAACCGTGCTTGTTCCTTCACTCTGAAAAACAAAGACAAGTTAATAAAATACATTGTTACACGCCATATGTCAAATGTGGTCATCATATGATGTTGAACTATGACAGAAGCACTCACAATATCTTTTGTCTAGATTTGCAATTTAGTTTCAAGTTACCCTTATAAGCTGGCTGTCCCCGTGCCTTCAACTCAGGAAGGGAATCGCAGAGTGCAGATAGGTCATATGCCTTCAATTTCTTCTCACGTCTTCGTTGATTTCTATTCTTCTGCTTGAAGATAATTTCAAGTCGCATAAATATATGACTACTAAAATGAATCAAGACAACTATAACAAGCCAAGACTTGCAAATTAGATTCTCTAACGTCAATCAGTTAGACATTGGAAGAGAACGACTCAAAAGAATGTATTCATGCACGGAACTCATTCCTTTCCTCTATGCTGATTCTCGTTTTTCTTTTTTTCTTTTTTTAAATCTCTCTAGATGCATTAAATTCAGTATAAGTGGGGGGGGGATAGAGAGAAACGCTTGGACCAAAAATCACCTCAACAACCCAAATCACAAATGAAGAGAAGTGCACAGAAATTTTCTAAGCCAAAAGCAACTATTTATCAGCAAAGTATTGAAGTTTACGGCATAATACATTTGCTCTCCATTTCTTGAATTGGTCAAACTAAGTATTACTTAGTCATTCCATGGTTTCATATAGGCACAGGTCTTCAACACCATATATTAATAAATGTCATTCAAGACAACTAAGAACAATGCTGTTGACATAAAATTCTTACCTTCGTAATTGACTTTTGAGCACTCAACGAAGAAACAGCAGATCTAACCTCTGCATTGATCAAGGATTGGGATGAGGCGAATTATTAACACATCATCAGATTTACCATGTAATATGCATCAAATACAAAGAACTTCCAATCCATATGAAACATATATAAATAATTCATAGATCTAACACCAAATCAATGCTAAATTATTCACTTTCACAAGCACCAACTATTTTGTGTAACAACATATAGGATATTCAACTTATCATAAACAGGACCACAACAATAATAAAATGCAAATCAACATGGCACGTGCACAAATACGTACATGTATAAGGGGGATACACCTAATGCAGTGTGTACTTGGTTACAACAGGTGAGAGGTATCATTAAACTATCACTGGATCAAAATTAATCAGTTAAAACTTAATATTAGAGCGCCTCACTAATGCAACACAGACGCTAAAAACTACCCTATAATTAGTCATCTACTTCCACAGAGAAACACAACTACCATAATCCTGCATCCTAATCTGAATGTTTTACATTACTATATTCCAAAAAATTGACTCAATAAAAAGATGTTAAACCATAATTTTACAACAAAAAATAATAATAAGGCAAACTTGTATCATCTTGTCGAGATGGGTTTCTAGTCTCTCCTCAGTGATTTACTTCTTCTTGGGCCAGTCAAGTCAGAAGGATGTTCAACAAAGTTTACCATGCGATTGAGCCAAAGGAAAATAGATATATATTCAGACATATCTATTTGTGGACATCTACAGGCAGTGTTTCATCACAGCGTCTGCTTCTCAGAAGCCCAGAACCGAATAACTTGGAAGCCCACAACCCAAAAGATTACAAAACCTTTTGGCATGTTCAACCCAAGCAAGAGATCACTTCTTGAAAGCAAAAGTTTTGAGTCAACAAATGGGGGAACAATGATACTCTTTAACTAAATTAGTTTATATGATTCATCCTTGGACGTTTCACTGCATTGATTATCTGAAACCATTCAGATGATAGTTTTGCAATATTTCTGAAAAATGCAATTTCTACACTCCTCAACAAGTATTCTGTTCTCAACTGTCAAGAAAATAAAGAATATCACTTGCTTAAGTAGCTGTAGCATCATAGTCTTTAAACCCTAATATTCTGCAAGTTTCCAACTTGGACAAATGATTGTTCATTGATCTTTGAAACTTCTCAATTGCTGTATCAGCATTAGTCTTCTCCCTGATAGTTTCTCCCAATTATATGCATAATCATCTTCCATATTCATTATAGGAGGATCAATGAAAGCACCAATTGATTCATCATCCATGTTCACAATAGCAGGGTCAATAAAAGCACCCATTGATGCAACAAAGTCTCAAACACACACATTCACAAAGAAAACTCCACAAACATGAAAGGATATTCCACTCAAAAGTTCAAATGGATCCTTTACAAGCCTCTCCTAGCTTTACTTACATGCTAACCCTGTAACTACTTCAAGTAGCCGTATCTATTGCCCTAACGACCTATAGGCTATACCCCTATTCCTATCACCCACATACCACAATATTTCTGTGTTTTATAGATTAGAAAGAATGGACAAGCAGACTAAGCTTTTAAACAAATACACAACTACTGCTAGAATAAGAAAATTTGGAATGTAAAAGAACGTATAATGTTAAATCACTACTTTCAATGAACTTTCGTTTTTCTAATTAACAAAAAACTTACTGCTATAAAATTCCAGCTTCTTTTCAAATTTGCGCTCAGATTTTGATCCTGTTCTGCATTCGTTGATGATGAAAGGAAAGATATGAAGCAAAACGAGAAAATACAGCATACAGAGAGAAACAGAAAAGTTCAAGCTTAAAAGAAATAAATAAGAGAAGTTCACAATGACACGTACCTTACATTAGCCTTGCCCATCATTGATATTTGTTTCAGGGTTCTTGTGTCTAATACGGTTTGTTGATAAGGGAAGGACTCCAGCAAGAGAACAGTTAAAGGCAGTCTTCTTCGTCTTAAATCGTAAAGGTCTCCTCTAATCGTGAAGGTCTCCTCTGGCACAAGGGAGAGAAATCAAGTAAAACAAAAATATAACCGCAGATGTACCTCTCTTCGATCGATGGGCGAAGGCAGCTCAACCCACTGATTCAACTGGCCGATCCTGACAATACGATATTAAAGACAGCTCACAACGACTGAGAGTCTGGAGCAGGAAGAGGCACTTGACGACGATGATGACGGAAGGTGGCAAAAGGAACAGGGGTCTAAGGGAGCTGGAGCTTCACCTTCGTGGACGGCACGAGAGGGATTGAGGGTCTGATGGCAATGTCCCCGAACCCTTTAGCGTGAACTGTGAACGAACGGCACAAAAAAAAAAAAATAAATAAATAAAAATAAAAATCGAAATTGCAAATAAGGACCAGGAATATAATAAAATAACCAATCAAGTTGCGAAATTATGAAATTATATTTGAAGACCATTGTCCTTTTCTGTAGTTTTAAAATAATGATTTGACAAAAATGTTCCTGGTGATCTAAGTTTACAAGTATAAATTTTTTTTAACTCAAATAAAATGATTTCACAACCTCTTTAACTAAATTTTCCACCTAATTAAAGTGATTTAATACTAATAAATTTTAAATTGGTCAACTGCAAGTCATTTAAATACTAATGATTTCAGAAATGTTGTCAAAGATGAGAGATTGTTTTTGACGGGTGGGTACTTGAAAATGACGGGGATGCTCTTTTTTTTTTTTTTGGGTAAGCCCAAAAACTAAAAGAGATCACACATTAGGGGATTAGGGGATTGAGATCCCGGACCTTTAGAAGAAACGAGGCCCAATAAGAAATTGCCCCCTTTGCCAGCCTGACAACCACTTAGTTTTGCTTTGTGGTCTGTGGACGGGGAAGAGGGTGTCTCCATTTCCCTTCCCTCCATTTCCCTCCATTTTCCTCCCATCACTTTGGATCAAAAATTTAACGGTTCAGATTGAAGCTTTAATAAAATTATTATTTTATTTTATAAAAAGGTGTATAAATAAATTTAAATTATTAAAGTTTAATCTAAATCATTAAAACTATAATATTTTATTTATATTTTATATAAAATTAAAATAACAATTTTTTTAAAATTAAATCTAAACATTGAAAAGGTTTAATCCAAAGGTGATGGGAGAGAAAATGGAGGGAAATGGAGGGAAGGGAAATGGAGACACCCTCTTCCCCTGTGGATGTATGTGTGACAAGGAATTGAGTCCACGTGTGAGAGAAGGAAGTTACAAAAGTTGGCACGCTAATCAGTAGTCACTTTAACACTTGTGCTGAACCTAACCACCACTTAATATAGTACATATCTGAGAGTCTGTTTAAAAAAATAAAATTAATCATTTGATATCTATAATTTTAATTCACTTATAAGTAAATCATTTTAACTCTATTATGACTTTGTCTCAAAACTAACAAATAATTACCAAGGAATATAATAAAATAACCAATCAGGTCATGAAATTATGAAATTACATCTTAACACACAAATGTTCTTTTTTGTAGTTTTAAAATAATAAGTGCTGAACCTAACCAGCACTTAATATAGTACATATTTGAGAGTCTGTTTAAAAAAATAAAATTAATCATTTGATATCTACAATTTTAATTCACTTATAAGTCAATCATTTTATGACTTTGTCTCAAAACTAACAAATAATTACCAAGGAATATAATAAAATAACCAATCAGGTCATGAAATTATGAAATTACATCTTAACACCATTGTTCTTTTTTGTAGTTTTAAAATAATAATTTCACTAAAATGTTCCTGGTGATCTAAGTTTGCAAATATAAAATTTTTCAACTCAAATAAAATAATTTCACAATCTTCTTTAACTAAATTTTTAACCCATTAAAGTGATTTAAGTACTAGTAAATTTTAAATTAGTCAATTGCAAGTTTGGGAGTAAAAATGTTTCTAACTCAAATAAAGAGATTTCTTAACCTCCTTAACTAAATTTTAATTTCAATTAAAGTGATTTTAACTGGCCAACATAAAATTCACTAGTGTTGATTCACTTTAAGTGGCTTGGAAATTTAGTTGAAGGAATTTATGAAATAACTTTTTTTTTTTTTTGTTTTGTGAAGCATTTAATTGGATGCTAGGGCCAAATTGAATTTTCATATGAAGCAAGAGATACCAAGTGCAGATAAATAAGAACACACGGTAATTTGTTACACAACCAAAAAAAAATAAGAACTGCAAATCAGTAGACTGAATGGAACAAACAAATTTTGTTATAGTAATCTGTTACATAAAAATCAATACTAACAATCAAGGCTGCTCAAACCATGATTTTTGTTTATCAACACCCCTGCAAACTTTTTTATCCACTGGTCAGCTGAAGTATGTTCTCTTCTTTCCTCCCTAAGCCTAACACATAATATTGAATGATAACATGGTCCAGGTGAAATTTTGAGCATACAGGAACTTAAAGTAATATGATAAAAGAGTGGATGATCAAGATGCCCCACTAAATTATAGTCCTTAGCTAGTAATGGAATGAGTCAAAGCCACAGGCTACAACAAGAAACAGAAGATAAACAAGAAGTCTCATTCAAGGGGAATCATGTAAAATTTATTGGGCCTAAAAAAGGCGTAGAGTTTGAGAACCAAGGGATAGGAAAGCACTGATGCAAATGGTTTGGTTTTCATCCTCGCCCTTACATTGCTACTCACCACAAACAAAGAACGAAGAATGCAGAAACAATACCAGAGAAGAATAGCAAAGCAACAAAGACCAAAAGTCAGAATATAAAGAATAGTAAAGCAACAGACAGAGTCCAGAACGAAGAACAATAAAAAAGAACCAAAATAAAGGCTACAAAGAACCATATCAGAATGAAGAAGGCAGATACCTAATTCACGAGCAGCATGAAGTAGGAGAAGCACTTGAGCTCTGAGATGGAAAAGAGAAGAACTCCTGAAAAATGAAGAGAGATGGAGCGGCTAGGGTTGAATAAGAAGTTTAAGAATATTTACAATATTGCCATTGTGAGATGGCCTGTTCTGTGCCTTTCCATTGTTTCTAAAATGATAAGTTCAAGATATAAGACCTGTTTCGCATTCTGTTTTTGAAAACCCAAAAAATTATATTGATAATGTATTTTTAAAAATATTTTAAAAAATTAAAAAAATAGATATTATTGTGAAAACTTAAAAAATGAAAATATTTTTAAGTGTTTTAGGATTATTATTTTCAAAAATCATGGAGAAGATGAAAAACATTTGATTTTATTATTATTTTTATTTTTAAAACATGTCCTAAAAAACATCAATTCTCAAAATAATAGAATAAAAATAGTTCCATCTCATGTGTACCTTTTTTTATTAAAATTCGCTAGAGTTCAATTTCTTTAATTGAGTTGAAAATTTAATCGAAGGGGTTATTAAATCATTATTTGAGCTCAAAATTTTTTACTTGCAAACTTGATAACTAGATTGGGCATTTTAATCAAATTATTTTTTTTAAGATTACAAGGATCATTGGGTTGAGAATTAGTAGGCGGGGTTCATGAAATCATTATTTGAGTTGGAAAAAAATTTACTTGGAAACTTGATCACTAGACATGAGCATTTTAGTCAAATTATATTTTTAAAACTACAAAAAAGAATTATGATCCTAAATATAATTTTATAATTTCATAATCCTGATTGGTATTTGTGATTTTCAATGTCCATTTTTTCTTTGTTGTTCACACTTCAAGGTTGGGCTGCAATTATGTTACTATATATTTTTAGAGGGTTTAAAATACCAACATTTATGTATGCAGCAGTTGACTAGTTAGGGTAAGTTTGCTTATTATTCTTAGTATCTTAGGTCTCAGGAGAGACATTCTTTGTATCGACTGAGCTTATTTATTATATTACCAAAAAAATTATCTCTAAAATACAGTCAATCTTAATATAAATTCTTATTATTTCATATATTATACTCCATCTTATTTTATTAGTTCTTTTTCCATGTTTCATTTTGTTTTAATAAAATCTTAAATCGTTCATTAAATCTCTTAAAGAAATCTAATAAGTTTTCAACTTTTTACTTTAATATTATATAGATTATATATATTATATACAACATCATCATCTTTCTTTCACTTAACATCTATATTAACACAAATAATGACCTATATCTTGTAAAAACTAATAACAAAAATTATTGACTTGAAAAAATAAGGAACATATTCATTGTAGACCCTGTCCAGATTCAATAAAAAAAAGAAGAATCTCTTGCAAGTCGAGATGAAAGCGATCGCAAGTCAAGTAGGGTATTGATTGAAATTATAAAATTCTGAGAAAAAGATAAGATAGATTTTGAATATTCAATTAGATGACTTGTTTGTGTCCTTACTATATGTTATGTATTACCTTTCAAATTGTTGTTCATTGCCTTACTTCACTTATTTATTACAACACCTTCACTTGAATTAATTTCAAGTGTTACTCTCATATTAGCATGACTTGTTCGTGTCCGTACTGCATATGGTTCATTACCCTTCAAATTCTTGTTATTATCATTACAAACTCTTTCACTTGAATTAATTTCAAGTATTGCTTTCATGTTAGTATGACTTGTTCGTGCCTCTACTGTATGTGGTTCATTATCATTTAAACTATTGTTCATTATCTTACTTCACTTTTTCATTATAGCACTTTCACTGAATTAGTTCCAAGTGTTGTTTTCATGCTAGTACGACTTGTTCGTGTCCTTATTGTATGTGGTTCATTACCTTTCAAATTATTGGCCATTACCATACTTTATTTATTTATAGCACTACATATTTATAGTTTGTTTTTTTCTTTTAAATTTCTTTCTCTTTCAATGGGGACAATTTTGTCATTTTCTAAAGAATTTTAATTTTAATTCAATACTCTAAACTTATAGTAACGTTTTAGAAATTTAGGAGTTTTTTTTAATTATTCTGATTTAGAGGTTTTTAGTGAAAATTTTTCCCATAAAATAAAGCCCAGGGAAGGTGTGACAAAAAGTTAATGTGACTCAAAATCCTTATAATAAAAAGTTGGGCTTTGATTACTAAAAAAAAAGTATGGCTTTATAAATGATATTCTATATGAAAATATAAGGTCACAACTATAAGTCTAAGTTATTATGAGTTAAGCCAAGTGGCAAACCTATATTATAGTAGTGAGGATGGGCACTTGTTGAAATAGAAAATGATTAAAAACGGAAGCTGATGAAGTTGCTAAAACGTTCTCCATTTAAAAGCATTCAAAACCCATTTGTAACCTGTGAAACCCCCATTTTAATTCTACTGTTTCGTTTCTATTTTCGTTTGGCCATGATTCTAGTATAAATAGGCCATGGATCTAGTGTAATAAAAAGCAATGTTTGAAAATAAACAAGAGTGCATTTGTTCCATTCGGTCTCTGTGCCATTTTATATCAGAGCAGGTCTAGAGAGTGAGAGAGTGAGTTACAGTACAATAGCCCGATACCTTGCAGGCTTAAACACAGATATCAGTCATCCAGTCCAACTTTAACAATATTGGACCTTGGATGATGTCATCCGTCTAGCCATACGTGTTGAGAAGCAGACGCCCAAGAGATTCACTTTTCAGCCTTCGTCTTCTAAGGGTTATCCAGAGGTCATAAGGCAGAATTTTATCAGACTAACTCCTCAAGCAAGTCACAATCTACCGCTTATATACAAACCACTATCTAATGCTGCCAAGGAATCTGGCTCTAAAGTAGTCAAGTGCTTTAAATGCTAAGGATTTGGCCATATTACTACAGACTGTCTACTTAAAGGGTTGTCACCATTAGGGAAGGATTAGGGTATGAAGCACTTGAAGAAGATGAGGAGGACGTTGAGTTCTACAACACTGATCCTGTATATGATGAGGAGGTCACACCTGCTGATCAAGGAAAAGCATTGGTGCTTAGATGAAGTCTACATACAATAGTAGTCAAAGAAGAACCTTAGCTATGACGCAACATTTTTCACACTCATTGCACGGCCCAAGGAAAGTTTTGTAATGTCATCATTGACAGTGGAAGCTATGAAAATGTAGTATCTAACTACATGGTGGAGGAGAAATTGAAGTTGCCAATATAAGATCATCCGCAACCTTACAAGCTTCACTGGCTCAACAAAAGGAATAAAGTAAAAGTTTTTAAATAGTGCCTTGTGACCTTTTCTATTGGGAATCGATATTGTGATGAAGTTTTATGTGATGTTGTTCCCATGGATGTATGCCACCTTTTCTTGAGGAGGCCATGGCAATATGATCGACATGCTATGCACAACGGGTGAGCAAACACCTATTCTTTTACAAAAGATGGTGTCAAGTTCATACTAACGCCTCTACCACCCAGTAAGATTAGCCAATCTTCAAGGGAATCTAGTGCCTCTAAGCCATTAGTGTCTTTGATGACTAAGGAGGAATCCAAGGTATCAAAGTTTGAAGCCTAGATGAGCTTTATTCTCGTGCTTGAGGTGAACGACGAGTCGACCCAATCCACCAGAGACATTTCGCTATTATCAAAATTTTTAGATATAATATCTGATGAGATACCACCCGGGTTGCCTCCCATACAAGACATACAACATGCTATTGACTTCATTCTAGGAGCAGTCATTCCTAATAAGCCTGCTTACAGGATGAGTCCCCCAGAACATGTCGAAGTCTAATGACAAGTTAAAGAGTTGTGAAGAAGAAAGGGTTAGTTCGAGAAAGTGTCAGCCCTTTGTATTGTACCTGTTCTTCGTACCTAAGAAGATAGGAGTTGAAGAATATGCATTGACTACCGAGCTGTCAACAAGATTACTATTAAGTATCAATTTTCGATACTTTGACTCGATGATATGCTAGACCAGTTGCATGGTGCCACTACTTTCTCCAAAATTGACCTTCATAGTAGGTACTATCAAATTAGAATTTGGCCACAAGATAAGTGGAAGACCACTTTCAAGACCAAAGATGTTTATATAAGTAGAATATTATGCCTTTTAGGTTAACAAATGTCCCTAGCACATTTATACACCTGATGAATTAGGTATTGAGACCCTTCATTGGCAATTTATTATTGTGTACTTTGATGATATTCTTATTTACAGTTAGAATTAAGAGGAGCATTTAGATCACTTACGGCAAGTTTTGCAAGCCTTGCGTGAACAGAAGCTTTATGCAAATCTCAAGAAGTGCACTTTCTCACCAGTGAAGTTGTGTTCTTGGGTTACATCATTACTGTAAAGGGTGTTCGCGTTAATTCAAGCAAAGTTGCAGCCATTGATAGCTGGCCAATTTTAAAATCCATCTAGGAGGTTCAAAGCTTTCACGGATTAGCTTCTTTCTACAGGAGGGTTTGTCTATAATTTTAGCTCAATTGTTGCACCACTTATAAATTGCCACAAAGGAGAGAAGTTTCAGTGGACAAAGCTAGCTCAGAAAAGCTTTGAGGAGCTTAAGAAGAAGTTGACTGAAGCTCTAGTCCTAGCTCTTCCTAACTTTGACCAAGTGTTTATTGTTAGCTGTGATGCTTCTAACACCGGCATTGTGCTGACTTAAACCAGGCGGGCCATCCCATTACCTTTTTTAGTGAGAAGCTCAATGATGCCAAGCTTAGGTATTCTACCTATGATAAAGAATTTCATGTCATTGTTCAAGCTCTCCAACATTAGAGTCACTATCTCCAAACTAAAGAGTTTATACTTTTTTTTGATCATGAGGCTCTCAAGTATTTGAATTCCCAACAGAAGATCAACCGTAGACATGCCCGTTGGAGTAAACTTTTACAATCTTACCCCTTCCTATCAAGCATAAGGCTGGTGGAACTTTGAACTCCATAGCTGATGCTCTTAACCGTTGACATGTGCTACTCACAACATTGCAAACTAAAGTTATTGGGTTTGACCTTATCAAAGAGTTATACCAGGATGATCCTAATTTTCGTGGAGTGTGGAAGCAACTATAAATCAACTTTCCTCCAGTTTTATAGACACGAAGGTTTTCTATTCAAGGTAAAACCCT